ATGTAGTATAGCATTTTCACTACTTCTTGTTTCGACTCTGAACTGAGGAAATAATCTCTCACTAAACGTCTAAACTGTCTTATTCAAACGATTAACATAGCAAACGCGATCTATCAAGACTTTTTGTTTTGCATGGGGTTAGTATGAGATAACTTGTGGTGGCTGCGCAGGCAGTCGAGCATATAGTGTGTTATTATCGCATATTCTGTGAAGACGCATTATGCGCAGCGGATTTCTTCTTTTGCCTAAAGCATATCATTAGCGAGTCGTTTCTGTCAACTGGTTATTCTTTTATAATCCGTCCCTCGGGAAAATTAGAACCCTTTTTCGAATACTTTTTCTTTCAGTATTTAGAAATAAAATTACAGTAACAAAAATTCCTTTACCAAAATACATACACCTTTCGCCCTTGCCAGTTGCGAAAGTAATACATGGCCTGATTAGATGTTTATACCAGGAAAATTGAGGCAAATTAATAATAAAACCCCAAAAATTCCTTTAATACGAAAAGTAGGTATTTCGCAATAATAAAACCTGAGCCGAAAACATTTCACAATAAAGGCGTGCTGCGTACATGACAGCCTTCCATTGTTCAACAAAATCAACAAGCCTTTTTGGCTCTCTGTATCCTATGAATGGTTAAAGCCTATTATTTTGTACAACAATGCACTACAGCATATTTAGGGCCATAGAAACAAGATGGGATAACATGAATAATAATGAATATTAATAATAATTTCGTCACGTGGCGCATACAAAAGCCGTTCCTCGCCTGCCTCTATTTGGTACATTTTATTGCGTCGGTATATTTAATTGGATGAGTTCAACATCAAATTACTGTTATTGTTTTCGTTATTTATATGCTATTCTGGTTATGATAACAATTTCAAATTTCCTACAGCGAATTCCATTCTATGATTAGTTGACTTCATTTAATAATAAACTGGAATTGTGAGAAGCCAAAGCTTTAAATAATCCAACGAAATACGTCAAATCGCTTGCAGTAAACGGAACAGAACAGTTTCAGTTTGATTTTATTTTCTCTTTCCTTGCTTGACCTGAGCTATTTGTGATATAGTTTATATTACTAATTTACAAAGTTTATTCAATTAAAAGAGTTGCAAAATTTATAGCTATAGTCGAAATGCGCAGTGGCTCTGATTTAACAAATCAGTTTATCAATATGTCGATAGTTGATAGTATTGAGGAAACTATCAACTTTTGCAACATTAAACAAATATACGATATTTATGTCTTCACTGATGAAAACCAAGTGTTGGTCCATTGGAATCAAATGAGAAAATCGTTTATTTAGACTGATAAGTTCGACCACTGGTTAGATCTAGAGTAAACTGCACTGTTCACAGAAATGGCTCAAAAAGAGGCATAAAGCAACAACATAGCACTACTCGATTCTCACTTCTCAAAAAAATGTCTACAATTAATAAGCCGAAATCTATGTATTGTTATATGTGTGTACGTGACTATGTAGTTTATACATTCTTCTGCACTCTTATTTTGTAAAATATTTTTAATCATTTAGAAACAAGATAAAATAAACAAATAGCTAATGCGTAGTGTTAGAAGCGTGCATATTCTTGGGACAGTTCTACATGTACGAGGGACAAATGTAACAATGTTTAAACATGTTTGGAATTTAATATTTTTCCATTGACTCAAAAAATTGAAAAAACAGTACATAATCGTGAGTCCACTTCTTATATTTTCTGCGCTGAATCCACGGAACTCTGGAACTTTTGGTGTAAGTTTAAAGGCAATAGGAACCAATTGAAGCTTCAGTTTCATCATTTGGATTTAAAAAAAAATGCCTGCAACTTGTTGTGATCGGTGTTCTTGTGACATCTTTGTTCGTTTAAATATTTCTTGTTGCATCTACTTTGCTTGACTGATTCTGACTTCTGCTTCCGTAAAATCTGTTCGTATTCTATCAAATGTTTTTCTGGAGTATCTGTGAGAATAGAGCTTTTGATTCATCGTTTTATTATCTTGTCTTGTACCAGTTGGTTTGGAGAGTGAAGTGGTCGGATATTTTGCAACACTGAGAAATTATTATTATTATCATTCTCACCATCGAACCAAATTATTTGTCAAAATTTTTAATACACATTATGATGTTTTTGCCAATTGGGCAAACAAAACATGCGGAAATATAATCTTAAACTAATAACGAGATCAAATAATTCATACGTTAACTAACCATAGCATCTTAATTGATTCAGGAAAACATACGTACACATGTAGTGATTTTATACAAGGACTTCAAAAATATACAAATTTTACTTACCTGTACGAAAAGTTAGCTATTCCAACTAACAAATCGCTAATCGCACGTAAACCATCGGACCAGCGGCTAACGTCTTTATTAGTCTCTAACGTATAGAAGATTTAGCAGTCTTGAAACATTTTTAGCGCGTTACAATTATACGCGATCTCAACACAGATTATTTGAACTAAAAGGTCTTTTAATAATCCGTTAATTTGTTTTTCGCTCTAATAGACATCAGCAGCTCCAGATTTTGTGAACAATTTCTGATGCAAAACAAAGCACGTAAAATTTTTAATCAAAATTTGGGTGAGTGAGACTTACATATTTGGTTAAAAATCAGCATTGATGTATTAATTGCCTTAAATTCAGAAGGAAAACGATTCAAAATAGTTCTAATACTTGAAACTGTATTGAGAAATGCTCCGAAGAAACATGTTTTGTAATTAACCTGATATTTGTAAGTATTCTCAAAACTGATTCAGTTCAAGCCTAGTACTGCGAAACACAGATTTAAAAAGATACCTAGCAATGACTAGAAGCTGAAAACTGGAAGTTCTGTGCGATTCCTCATTTAGAACTAGTTATTTATTTTTGATCTAAACAATTATTTCATAATGTTCAAGCATTCCATAATGTTTAGGTTAATAAACCTCAATATTTTTTTTCTGGTTTTCTAGCTCAGAAAAATCACTTCCAACCTTAGTGTTTTAACTTACAATTACATTTTGAAGCGAATGAAGTGAACTGAAGGATTGTTGAGTAATTATTGTGTGAACTGTCTCAGAGTCAAAGTAACGCGTTGCGAAGTTGAACCGTTTCCAACTTAATCGAAGACACATTGCGCTAGTTTGATTGCAACAACTTCCTAAGTTTGGATCAGCTTGTTAAACACTGCATTACATTAAACCCGAAAACCTAAGTGGTAAATAAAATTACACGGCGTAACACTACTTTACCAAGGAAAATTGAATAATTTCTTCCCCATTAAAGACCCTCACTCAATATTGATGGTGCCGGAGCATTTTCCCGGGTTATCAGAATATTAAACTTTCAATGTTGTCTTGACAGGTTAACGTAAACCTCTTAAGGACCTTAAAAGGAGTCCTGCTTCAACAGTAATGATCGTCAAGAGGATATGGTGCGTAATCAGATTACAGAAAATTTATGAAGCCATACGAAAATGTATATATGCCTCTGACCCTATCTAAATAACTTAACTTTAATTCGGTTCCGGTTGCGGAGTTGGAAATGCAGAGTGGATAAAGTGTATTGTCTTTTCGGATTTGGTTTAATGTCCGACCAATTAATACCAAACAGCTTAAGTAGAAATAGAAAAGATAACTGGCGCATCAATAATTTTGCCCCAAAAATATACAGGAAATCAATATAATTAATTTTATTATTATATTTCGCTACAATTACTACGGTCTATTGCAGTCAAGGTGGGAAAATAGCAGTATTTTAATTCTTATGCTTCTTACTTTTTTTCAGCGAACAAGAGTTGTTTACCATTGAGCAAACCCAGATATTTTTTTGCAGCAAACAAAAGACAATATACTCTGGTATCCTTAATACCATCCCATATACGACACGTGATATTCCACAAGCATAACTTACTTACTATTGCACATAATAAAGTGAAATGTATAGTAAATATGCAAGGTCTATAATACAAAATGCTTTCTGCGAATATACAAATCCTCGAGAAAACTGCTTCCTGTTTCCTTGATCAAATATTTACATTTGCACTGTTGACTTGTTTTACTTGAGCCATATTCGTGGCTGATTTTTTAAGTAAACAAGTAGACAATTTTAATTTTCCATTTTTCTCATAATTTACCTTGACTATTGATTTAGTGCGGGCTCGTTAAAACTTAGGCTTATAATTGAATTATCCAACTAAAAGCGGAAGGAAGAAATTTAAATTTTCATTGTATTATTAAAATAAATAATAATACGTGCGCTGCTCAAATAACTGGAGTACGGAAAACTAAAACAAAACATATCCACAGTTTTCCTATTTCAGTTGGTAAAAGCTTTTTCAGAAGAGATTTTCTATTCATTACAAGTACCTAAGAAGATCTTGTTGGCTATTAACATATCTGATTAAATGTTAGTTGATGAATTTACAATGCATCAGCACATATAATGTACTGAAATTTTGCAGCCATGAGATTGATTCAGTGTTCTCTCACAATATAAAGCTCCTTTTTACAACAGGCACTTTTTCAGATGAACGCAAATTGGCTCACGAAAAACCAATCTACAAGAAAGCTAAGAAACGTAACATGGAAAGCTATGGGCAAATGCGTCACTAAGCAATTTTGCGACGATATTTGAAAAAATCTAAGACAGATTACATCGCATACATAACACAGCATTTACCGTTTCCGAATCGATTCGACACTTCGAAGTCTTGCGAAAAACAAAAACATTGTTAAATGGTAAACCGCGACCTTAAATTATGTCTACTATGGCGCCTGATGGCAGAAATTAATATATTTTTCATAAACTGAGATAAATCATAAGAGTAGCATTGCATGATTCCTAGACCAAGCTGAACAATGTAAATTTGAAGTGATTGTAAAGTAAATTCCCACAGTCTCAAATAATGCAATAATCGTATCTATTGCGTTTAATATTATGTAGCGATTATTTTGGCAAAACGCGCATTAGTAAGAAGAATGAAACTGAAATAATTTTTTTATTTCAGATTCTTTGACAATGAAAGAATTTCTCGCTGCCGTCACACTGTTGGCAACGGTAAATCTAGGAGACAGTTTTACAAGTAAGTGCTTGGCTGTATCTTGAAATAAGCAGGATCTTTTTTATCAATATTAAACGTAAGGTGGTCAAGAACTGTTTCGACGCTTATAGACAAACATTTAAATAAGTACGTTTCGGATCAGATATAAAATATTACTTACATATTTGTCGTTGCTCGTATTAAAGCGAAGCCAAGGTTAAAATAATCACAATTATTTCCAACAGGATGTAAATTGTACCAGTGAATCTTGAGTTCTTTGATTGATACGTAATTCTGCCAAACTAGTTTAGCAACTTCGCGTTATTTTAACTAGCTAAACTATGCGTTCAATGATTATTTCATATCTAGAATACGGCAGATCATGCAAGGACATTGGATGTCCTGGGAACCAAGTATGTGTGATGCAAACAGATCCATGTTCATATTATCAAAGGCAGGGAGAATGTGGGCAGTAAGTATTTCTCAGAAAATTTACTGTCATATTTACTGTGGACCATATAGTTAAAAAAGTTGCAAAAATCGGATTATTTTGGCAAAAAAAGTTAATTAAAGTTTTAACAAATCGCAATTCTGAAGCACTGGCCCTACTTTGAGCAACTCTTTCTTTATCTGAAGACTAAAACTGCAAATTTCACTAGAAATTAACCACCACCTGTTTAATTTGATTTATTTTATAATTTGCTTAACGAATTGTATATTTATCGCGACCTTGTTTCACTTTATGGCAGTCATATTTAACATTAATTATATAGAACTTGTTGATATTGTAAAATCTCATAAATATGAAAAAATGTTTTGAAAAACTTTTCAGCCGATATTCTGTCCAAACGGTTTTAATTTTCACGCGTTCTATGGGCTTCTCTACGCATTAATAGCAATTTTGAAAATTTTAATGTAAAGCAGGCTCTCTTTGTTAGTTACTGTTTCTTTAAATATTTTATTATTATACAGTAAAATTTTCCCTTGGAAAGGTCCTAACTATTTTGAAACATAATGTTTTCTTTAATTCTCTTGAAGCTGAATTTAAGAACGTAAAAGCATTTTTTTATTTCTCGGTATAGTTGCCTTCTCCAACCTGTTAGCGTTGCATCCGGTGGTTTTTTGAACATCTACTCTTGTAAATGCGATTTGTAAATTTTTGATAGAAATTGTCCCTATTCATTAAATTATTCACACGATTGTTTATACAGAGAATGGTATGGTTTTATGTAGCTGTAAGAGAAACTTAGGGAAAACATTGCCAATCCCACTTTTGTCCCTATGAATATGATATCATAAGTGATAGTCTTAATTTATTAACTTAAATTTTAAATTACAAATAATTTCGAAAAAGAAGCAAGAAATATACGATGAATAACTAATGTTTTTGTAATTAATGTTCATAGAATTAAAATGCCCAAAATTTAAGTGAAAGTCTTTAATAATTCAAGTTCAACATTCAAAACTTTAACAATTCAAAAGAAATTCCTGAAATATTAGATAATAAATAAATATAAAACTAATTCTATTTCTGTTTGAAGCGTAAAAATTAAAACAATGCAAAACTATCGAAAGTGCCACGTGTTCTCAGTCAATCAAAAAACCGTTTTTTTTCTGTATTTCAACACCACAAGTATTACGATAAACAAACAAAGTATTTGAATTTTTCGCCAAGCTCGTTTATTTGCAGACTGACCTCAAACAAATAAACATTTTGATCTTGCAGTGATACATTTTTTTACCTGGAGCTCATTTTCAAAATCCAAGATTCATCTTGAATCTAAAACGTCGCAATCTACTAATACAGAAATAAAATACAATATACCGGGTTGCATGAATGAACGAAATATTTGCAAGTAAACTTTACTTAGTTGAAAATCTTGCAAAGTCACAAATTTGTTGTTGTTGAGCAGTTTGCAAGTGCCCAATAAACGGTTTTCTATTGGTTAAAGGCGAAATGGATAATTCTTAAGATGTAACATGCTCAACCTGTTTACAAAGATAAATTTTATGAAAATTTCAGATTTCCAACGTGTCAGAAAAAAAGTGGAGGCAGTGCGCGAACATGCTCAACTTACGTTTGCCCTCCAAGCCAAGTGTGCAAAATGGACGGTGATACTCCGAAATGTTACAGCGATGCATCCAAATGTACGTAATTATTTCTGTTAGTTAAAAATATTAAAAATAAAAAATCAACAGCATCGAATAATTAGGAAACTTTCATTTATTAGATGCAGAAAGCAGTTTAAAAAGAAAAAGTTATAAAACTATTAAAATGCAATTTGTAAAACTTGCACGAAACGGTCTTAGTGAATTGTTTTTTGTCGTCATTTAGCTGGACTGGTAAGCTATGACACCCATGCAGCAAATGCCCCAATAGATCCTAATGGTGCCCCAAGTGCTCCACCTGCAGATGGGGGCAGTAATGTTTACCCTCAAATTCCGAAAGGCGAAACTACACCCAGACCTAACATTAGGTAATACTGAAAAACCTAGTTTTTCTCATTAAAAGTCATATATAATTTCTGTTTAGGCCTGTCGCTGGTGGTAGTGGATATCAAGGAGGTAGTATAGGATCAGGATATCCTGGATATCCTCAACAATCTGGAGGTGGCTACCCTCAGCAGGGAGGCGGCTACCCTCAGCAGGGAGGTTACCCCCAAGGGGGTTACCAAGGATATCCGCAAGGAGGTTATCAAGGCTACCCACAAGGCGGATATCAAGGCTACCCACAAGGTAGACCAGTTTGTTGATGAAATTCGCAAATTTACAGATTAATCTGATTTTGTAGGCGGAGGTCAGCAATATCCGGGTGGATACCAAAATGGGTATAACCCATATCAACAGCCAAACCCTCAAAAAGGATCCGGAAGTTCGATAACAGATAAAATCACCGATAGCATCAAGCAAATAGGTACAAATTTCCTAAAAGACTATCTGACTAAAGCTCTGGGTTAGCAACTCAGAAGTTGCTATGTAGAACACAATTTGTGATAGAAAACACTGTATTTATATATTATGTCTCCATTCAGTTTGTTTTACCAAAGTCATTGAATTTCGATTGAATTTTGTGAAAACTAAATAGTAAAAATCCTAATGTTTCTAATCAAAATGTATACCGACCTAACAACTATTAGTACGGTAGCTGTTTAACATCCGATGTAAGTAAATGTTAACGCACATTTTGTTTGCAGGGTTATTCTACATACTATTAAGCTATTATCTTGCCAAGAGTCTACAGCTGTAAGAATTTAATATTTCTTAATTTCATAACCACTATGTAAATATTTCAAATTATTTTTATACCTAAACAATAATCTAGCTAATATGGTTGTGTTCATGTCTGATTTTCCACTACCTCAATTGTCGGTGAGTACTAGCCCAACAAAGTGTTTTTTAATAGATTATATGTTTTGTTTTGCAATGAATTTTTTTTGTTGCTTTGGTGGTAGCTTCTGCACTTTCACCCTCTTTTAATATTAATATTTTGATGTAAAGTAACAAGCATATTAAACTAAGCAAATAAATTATAATCAACAAATTCAAACGCGCGTAGATACGGACAAAAAATGACTTGACTTTTAGCACAGAAACGTGACTGGATGAGATAATTAAGAAGCTTGAGTACCTACGCTGCTGCTTCCGCTTTACTGCTTTTGTTGTGTAGAATAACCTTTGTCAAGCATAGTTTTTTGTATTGTTTGTATATTTTGTTGCCTTTTTCTGTAGAGCAGTTTTCTTTTAGGATTTTCATCTTAGTTAAGTAAGTCGATATTAATTATGTACCGGGCCAAATTTGTTACCTACACTCAGGCAATGTTACATGATGTAAGATTTATCAGAACTAATAAAAATGTTAAATAAATATTAATGATGTTATTGAATATGTTTTTTTAATAAATCCAAAATTTTCAAGAAAATGAGCTTCTGAAATAATATCTATTAGATGCTGTTAAAACGCAGTTAGTTAAAAAGCAACAATCAAAGCTCGATATCTTTTTCATACAAAAAAATTGTTCCAATCTATCAAATTCATATAAATGTTGAAGAAAATTTAACGTTTCGTGCCAAACATGACAATGAAGAACACTCTAGAACTACTAACGAAAAAAGTACGTTATTAATATAATATCCTACGGATTACGTAAATCTTCAACTATACCACTTATTATTTTAATGATTATTGTAGTAAAAATACATAATTTTAAAATTTTACATATATTTTCAAAAGACGTACTATGAAAGACGTACGCTACGTATTTAGCAAAAGACATACGATTGTCACCAAATTGCATTTCTTGATAACTATAATAATAAATTAAAAAATGTACTAGTACGGTAATAATGTATATTATGATAATTATACAGTGTGAGTCAGCGAAGCGAGACCCCCTCGTAGATGATACAGAAATAGCGACTGGAAAAAAACGTTTATATAAAAGTGTTGTGGTTGTTGCAAAATTATTTGTTTCTGTTACTTTCAAGTATACAGGGTAGCTCAAAATAAAATTCTAACAGTTAAGTTTTTTTTAACGGAATAGCCTACTTTTCCATCCAGAATCAATTTATACATTGAATTCTAAGTATTTTTTGTATAACATACTATGTGACTGAATTCAATAGTCTTGGACATAGCGGCGATTAAAACATGGGAACACAACAAAAGAAAACTATATGATTATTTTTTTTACTTAATAATAATAATAAATTATGCAATTTTAAAGGAATATTAAAACAAATGTTTCTTGTTTCTATTTTGCACTATTCTCAAATTAAATCGTTTATTTTATTCTAAAAACAACAATAATACTGCTGTCCATATTGAAATGTAGTTATGTTCAAAACCATTGAATTAATCCACATAGTATGTTTTACAAAAAAAGACTAGGAATTCAATGTAGAATCTGAATCTGGATTAAAAAGCAGGCTGTTCCTTTAAAAGAAATAAACTTGACTGTCATAACTTTATTTTGAGCTACCCTGTATAGTTCAAAGAAACAGAAACAAATACTTTGGCGACAACTACATCACTTTTATATCAACGTTTTTTTCAGTCGCAGGTTCTGTACGATCTCTGAAAGGGGGTTTCGCATTTCTGACTCACCCTGTATGTATAGCGATTATAGATAAAATAACACAGCGATTGTGCGATTTTAGGATGGACTTTGAACTGAATATTTTCAATATTTTATAAAAAACTTACAGGGAACATTTTATTTGTTCCAATTTTTGTTCATGTTAATATTCCAGTCCAAGAGCTCCGAGATACACTCGTATATTTAATAACGTTGAAGAATTCATTTATTATTGCGTAACATCGCTTTATCGCTGAAATTCATAAACTATTCGGGCTGTATACGCTCATTTTAAACGGATGCCTGTTTAATCATTGTCACTTGTTTCTTATTGTTGTTTGCTTCATATGTTTCGAAGTAAAATGTCCCAATATTTTTTGAATATTTTAATTGCCTACATCAGTAACATAACATGCAGAAAAGCAACATCAGCATATTGCATACAATTAATTTTGTTGTTTTGTTCATAAAAAAAATAATTAATGTCATTTAGACATTGTACGCAACTTTCTACTTTTTTCTATGTTTCTTGATATTATATTGTCAACTCTTTCCGGGCCAATCCCAACTGCCCATTTCAATCCCTTGCACCTAATCCTACTCAAATGTAACAACTTGCAGCCAAAGATTTACACAATGCAAACCAAACGAGCAAAGCTCAGTAGGTACTAATAACAACAATTTTATTAGAGTTTACACTGGTGCACGGTGCCTAGTTTTAGTTTTACCACTCCCTCTGTCCTAAATTATGTCCCCAAAGTCTAAATTCCTGCCATTAAACAAATTACTTTATTACCAGAGGCCATATTACGGTAAATTAATATATAGGAAAAGGGATCCAGTCGTAATTTTATTAATAACTGCCCGCAGCCAAACGAAACTTCTATATGGAATAGGCTAAAGTGAATATGAGGATAGTTTGTCGTAGCTATGGAGTTTTTCCAAAGTTTCCCAGGATGTTCATTGCAGAAACTCCAAACTTGATGGATCCCTATTTTAGTAGAACTTAATTACCATCCATTAATAAAGTGAAGTGATTATGGCTAAATAAGCTGTTCGCGTTAATAAGTGGACTTGAAACTTTCCTCTCAGAAATAGTTTTCTCTCATTAGCCATTTATTTTTAGTTCAATATCATTGAAAATTCACACGAGTACTGTGAATAAATAAAAGCAAAATATCGTTTAACCTAATAACTAAATTAAAATTTTCCAAGCAAAACTTTTTTTCCTGAAGCGTGCACAATCTGATTAAAAATCAACTTCATACTTTTCACAGAAAATACAGAACCACTATCAAAAGAGTATTTTAATTAGGTCGCTAAAATATTCATGACCACCACAGATGCTTTGAAAACTAACTCGCATTTGAAAATGCTAATTTGGATTAAAAAGAAAGTAATTAAGTTTATCTTTTTGCGCTCATAATGCTTTATTTGAACTATTCACGTAATTTCTTTTGGCTTTCGAATAATTTTCTTCATTAAATAATTCATCTATAAAAGTCACTTCCTTTCCTTTAATAACGCAAAAATATTTACTAGTACCGTAACGTAACGTTTCCAAATTAAAAAAAAAATCCTTATTGTACCAACCGGTTTTCGTACGATAAAGAAAATTGATGAAGAATTGAATAATGAACGCCTGGGTAAAAACAGTGAAATTCAAGTAATGAAACAATAAAAGCAACAAATTTAAAAAACTATTGTTTGAGAACAATGCAAATACACATCTTGTACTTCATTTACCTTTTCTTCGATTGGGATGTTCACAATATTAAATTTCTTTCGCATGGTTGGATTGACTGTCCAATTTCCAGTTTTTTTAACTTAATCTCTTGACTAACCCTTTCTAGTTTTTTTAACTTAATCTCTTAAAGTTTTTAATATTTGTCAATTGTTTAAGAAAAAAATCCCATTACAGATGTTTATGGAACAAGAAATGTATAAGGAGCGGTTCAATATTCAAAATCGAAACTTAGTAGGTAACTGAAAGCCTAGCTAACTCTCCTATAACTAAGGTATCTATTTTGTCACATAGGAGTGCATGCAGTTTACATACATGGACATAAAAAATGTCCACAAATCAGTTTTTTAAATGGCACCTACTAATTTTTTTGGACCTGTTTAGCGTTTCTTATTGTTTAATCATAGCAAAATTTTCAAGCCTAATTAAAAAAGTTGGTTGGTGCCATTAAAATTTTTCACATTGGAATCATGAAAAATGTGCATTAAAAAAAGCGATCATATATATAAAACATCTTTATTTCTTACAGAAAAAGGCTATCGACCTAATCGGTCTTTCTGCCCTAAAAAGTGATCAATTAAGTCAAATTTTAGAAACTTATTACGGATAAGCTAGCCGCTGATTGAAAAGGAACCAAATTTACGGGTGTTCTATACCGACCACTGAAGATTTCAAGTTAAAATGCAACAAAAGTCGCTAACAATAATAAATATCTCGCACCAAAAAAATCGATATCGACATTTGGAAGAAAATGTAGTATGAAATTAAATTGTAACGGTAGAAAAACAAAGTTAAAAATGTTGTTTTCGAAAATGGAACAAATCCCTATTGAGAATACAAGACCTCTTTAATTTCTAATCTAATTCACAGAAGAAAACACCAGTAAATGCAACAAACTACCTTCCAACACAATAGAAAGTGTAGTTCACACAAAAACGACACTTGTTTTATATGTTTTCTGTTATGTTCGTATTATAACAAGAAATTGAAATAACGCAATACAGAATCCAGATACTTTTTTGTCGTTCCTCGTCGCATAAACATGTACTAATATAATAAAAGTCAACAATACTTGAAAGCGATCTTCCAAGAAAAATGTAAACCCAAACTTACCAAATACTGCATCGTGTCTCCTGAAAAAAAAAAGATGTTCAGTGTACAGGAAATACTTCTGTAATTCTATGAATTGAAATTGGAATGTAAAAAAGCCGTGAAATCTATGTTCATAAAACCTCCGCCAGTTCAAGCTAAGTGCTTCGAAAAGTGGCTACATTTTTCCGGACACCCTGTATATTAAGGATCTATCTTATCAGGTTTTTGCATGGTGGGGCCTCATCCTGAACCATTTTCGTATCGGCTGCGATTCACTTGCACCAAAAGTTCACTTTAAATATTGCAAAATACCAATATTTCGATACCTATCCGAAATATTCCCGATTAACTATGACCGCGACTGGCAAGACACGCAAAGAAACTAACAATTTATTTCGTTCCTGTAATATTTCCGCATTTAATACAGCCAATATTTGCCAGTTTTCCAAAAAAAAATACTGCCGATTTGTAAAGTACAGACCTCGAACATCCTGATGTATGTAATCGTTTGCTTGATCGTACCTCTATCGTTTTACTCGTCTGAATGATTCACTTTTTTTTATTGAGAAAGTCTATGTAGCCGCAAATAAAAACCCGACAAATATAAACAGGAAAAGATAAACAACTCAAGTCAGGCGCGCAATAGGCATTTTATACTCAAGGAAAACCGGATTTTTCCGAAAAGTGGTAAAATTTGGGACAATCCTGAACCTTTCAGGTTTTTTTCGAATCATGTGTGCATCGTTGGTTTTAGGGGAGAGTGTTGTACTTTTGTTGTTTTGTAAGACGCTTTTTAATTTGTTTCCAGACCACTTTTTAAATACATTATTTTGACTAAAACCATTATGTTATCTTCTCTATTTAGAACGATATTCTCAAAAAATATACAGGGTGCCCAACTTTGTTTTTTGTTCTATATCGGCGCATCCAGCGTACAAACATTGATATAAAAACAGTTAAAAAATTTAAAAAA